TCGAATACACAGTTCCAATAACTGAGCGTAGTCGTGACGAAGAGACAGTCGTAAGTTAATAGTTGCTACTAAGCTTGCTACGCTGTTTACCATATAGTTACATGAATATGTACAGTGCTTGTTCTATGTACGTTATGATGTCGAATTGACTGTTTGCAAGACATATTAAAAATCTACAGTGTTTACGGATAACTACCTAAATCTGAATTGCATAAACTGTAAAAATGAAACTGAGAAATCAGGAATAACAAAACACAGAAAGAAATATTCAGAGACAGACGAGTGAGAGCAATCGGTAAATAATCAAAAGTCACATTTATCTATCTGATATCAAGGACTATATTCGTTCAGATTTTCCTGTAAAAGAGTCGATCAAGTTACTCGTACACCTTGTGTTCAATATCTGTCGTCGCTCGGTCAAGCTCGGATGGATCCACATAAACCCTTCATGAATATAATATTCACAACACGTACAACATCTAAACAAAGGCTTTTCTTTCTCTCACGTAACTTAACACCGTAATTGAAAATTTAATAAAGTGTTTCTCACACCGTCCTGCAATATAAAGTATCTAACACCCACGAATATTATATTTGAAGTTTTACACAAATAACTTGTACAACTATGCACAAACAAACATGAAACACAGTATTAATTACATGCTCCCTTAAATACAACGACTCTTTAAATTATAAAGGACATCTAAGAATTCTTTTACTTCATTATCTCGCAAGTTGTCAAGATCCTATCTCACATTGTTCTTGTCTCCACAAAGAAAGATTAACAAAAGGTTTCGAAAGAGATTTTAATAATTATAATCATTCATCTCAATCTACGTAGATGAATGTCCACGAAAGCCTTTGGCCAACTTAATTGAAAAGTTTTACAACGAAATTAGACACTAATAAGAAGGTACAAGTAATGTTTACTAAGTCTTTAAGGACTTTTAGATCTCACGTCTATTTGGCGCCATTTACTTTACGAAAGTATTCTCACTTATAGCTACGGCTACGCCGAGGTCGCGCTACGAGCTACGCCGTAGCCGGGTGCTACGAATTTTTGTATCGTAATAATAATTTCTACTTTTAAGGTCGGAACGTTTTAATTCACTCATGTCTAAAAGTTTGTTATTTAATTTCATAGTTTGGAAACTCATTTAACTGTCGCGACCTGACCCATAATCCCATTGTCCTACGCTCTCGTAGCAATTCACGTAACTTCAAAAACGTACGCGACACCTGTCAACAAGACGAATATTCGGATTTTGGAGTTAAAAAATGTTGGTTTATAACAGTATGTTGACAAAAAAAACCATAACGATTTTTTTTAACAGGGTTTTAGGCAAGTAATTAGAAAATTGTAAATAAATAAGTGAAAAATGCGTTTAAAAATATTTATTTAATTGACTTGGTCCTCCTATTTTTACTAAAAGTATCTGTCTACTATATTTACTATCGTTATGAAACTATAAAACATACGAAAATACTTATTACTTTGGGAATTCTACAAATATAAATTTAATACTCGGGAACGCTTTACACGAAATTTTGTCTACCATCAAAAGTAAGAGTACATTTGACGCACTTAAATAAATGTGTGCACTCTAAAATTGAATATGATAGCAAAATATTTTATTATTGTAAAGTAATTTTGTGAATATTTTTTTAAGTATATCAAAGTGAATTTTGTCTAAAGTGTAGTTTGTCATATGTGAAATACTATTTAACTTTAGGCTTTTTTCAAGTGTGGGAGAGCCATGCTTCGGCACCAATGGGCCGGTCGACTCGCTCGACTGGAGCGATACCACGACCTCACAGCAAAAGCAACATGAAATGTGTGAGCGAGGTTACTCACACGACGAAACACAAAACATAGGAAGCCAAAAAAAGGCTTAGAATAAAATTATCTGTCTGATATGAAGTTTAGAAATAGGTAATTGTAATGCAAATAGTTCTATTTTAATTACGTAACTTTATTCTTAACGAAAGGGTAGACAGGGATCAAAATTTTCAATTTAAGATCAAGTAATAGGGGAAAACATGTAGCTATTTTTAAGCATTTTTATTATAACAAACATCTACACAAATATGAGCTGATTCACGTTAAACTTAATTCTACATTACTTAAATTACTACACATTTAAAAATAGCTCTTACCGTATTCAACATAAAGACTATAAACATATACAAGAAAATGGGTACAGTTTACCATTAATATCGTATAGTGCGATGAAGATGGGTGCGGTTATGTCAAGGTGACAGCGCTTGAGGCGTCGCGACGCTATCACGCGTCTTCACTGAACAGTTTCAACATCGTGAGTTCCATATACCAGGGATAAGTTGTCGTCTCAATTGGGATGATGACAGCGTATAAAAATTAAAAATCTAATTAGTCCGTAAGTTAGGCAATGAAAAAATATTAGACATGTATTTTTTATTTTGTCGTATAATAAAACAATACTTCTATAAAACGAATCAAAGTTTAGAAATGGGGTCTAAAACGTCATTTCTACGTATAAAATGTACATAGAAGTGACGTCACGCGACATTTGAAATCAATATATCGTCGAAAGTATTCGTTTCTGTGAGAAAATAAAAAATACGTGTCTAATGATTCCAAATACGGACATGAAAATAAAAATTAGGCATCTACCCTATTAAAAATATTTTTAACAAATACTTCAACACAGTTTAAAATGTGTCTACTATAATTTGGACTGACTTGTGTTATAAAATAAAAATTATACATTAATAACAAGACCGATGAGTTTTAGCTAGACCTGACCTCTAATTTAAGTACAAACACCAGAATTTGTATTTTTAGGAGATGTATTTTTATACAATAGTAACACAAAAGGCTAAAAAATAACGATGCTCTTGAGCAAAGTGTAGTACGCACTTAGTATACAATATTGAACAAAATTTTCTGACGAAGAATTTCTGTTCATAGGCAGAAGGGTAAACTTGTAAATATAACTACCATATTTTGCCAATATGTATATGTTTTAACGCGTAAATGTATATGTAAACATACCCATGACACACTAAAAAAAAACAAAAATAAATAAAAATTAATAATAACTTAGCCTATTGCCCAACTTCCACCCATTATAGGACTGGTATTTTTAAATAATTTTTGCGAACGAACGACCTGTAATTATTTTTTGCCACCCTTGCGAACTAGAGACCTGACAAGTACTCCACTCGACTTCTAATGGAGCCCTTGACTTGAGTAAAGATGCCTCGATCAGTGATTAATAATATTTTTTATTTAATAAGTGGTAAACGACCTGACGGGTCATCTGATGGTTAGGAATCAGCGCCGCCTATAGAGACCCACTCCACTAGAAAAGTTAAAAACGCTTTACCAGCTTTTTTTAAGGATTTGAGAATTAGAAATTGGGGATGGTAGAAAGATTCATCATCATCGTCATCATCAACAGCCTATAAGTGGCCAGTGCTGACCAAAAGCCTCTTCTCGCACGGAAAAGGTTTGAGCATTAATCACCACGCTTGGTTGGTTGGCGATTTCAAACTTATAATTAGAAATTATAAACCCAGGTTTCCCCACAATGTTTTCCTTCACCGTTTGTCAGTTGTGTCTAGATAATCTTAGAAAGTACATATAATTTGGAAACAGTTAGATTGGTAGGTACTTGCTGTTGGCAAGTTTTGAACCCGCACTCTCATACATGAGAATCAGTTGTCATAAACGCCACCATTGGCCACCACGACATTGATCAGCGGAAAGATTATATTAGCATAATTATTATTCGCATTCGCAAAGATTATATTAGCATAAGATTAAGATATTCGGACACCCCCAAATATAGTTGAAAAATGCAGTAAGCCTCTAAAATAAAATAAGTACTTAGAATCCTATCTGTTAATTAATCATAGTTTCTTTGATCTTACACGAAATTGTCACCGATAATACAGTACAGGTACTGGTACAAAATTAAGAACCGTTCAGGTATTTAACGCGTTTACCTATTTTACCGAAACATGAGGTCACTACTTTACTACATCGTTACTACACTAAGAGTTACTCAAGTGTACTGAAACGGACCCCTATGATCTAGGCTATTTATAGAGCACCCTAGTCCCTATCTCTTCCCCTACTCGCAAGGGTCTTTTTAGAAGGTTGTGAGACACCTGATTTGGTTAATAAGATTGACCTTGGACCATAGTTTGTACCTTAACGTAATACTATAATTATTGTTTTTGGCTTTAAATGGGTTCATGTATTAAATTTTACTTATTATAACAAGCTTCGACAAACATGTTATAAAGCCTCATATATTTATGCAATAGTCGAAAATCTCGGTGAGGATTTTTGGGTCCAACAAAATATTATTGAGATTTAAGGTAATTTTTTCTCCGCTTCGCAATTCAAGCTTATCTCTGTATTTGTTAATAAGTTCACGCCGTTAACTGTGAAATAACATGTATGTATAATTTAAATTCACGGTAAGTAACTTGGCATGTAACGGTAAATATAATTATAGATGTGACATTATTTTATTCTTACGTTGTACATACGTGGCTGACAGCTTCTTTCAATACATCATAAATGTGCACTTGATATAAATGCCTAAAATTTGTTTATACAAAAGTAGTCTCTAAACATCAGAAATAAGGTCTATAATGGAGTTAGTGGAGAGCGGTCACCGGTGACCGCTTGGGGATTAGTATGGCAACAAATTATTCAACTTTTAAAATGAATTCACAAAATAATATTTTTAAATTAATATACAAACCTTATATGTACACAGCTTTCCTATTTGGAAGCCAATCCAAATAGTCAAATTCAGCAGACACACGTGTACCTACCCTCTAATAAGGCAGCCTAAAAAGGCTATAAAGACAAAACCTTAGTCTTCACATATTTTTTGCACTTGATTAATTATTACTGATCTTTATAGTTTTAGAACTAATGTCAAAAATTGATGTCAGTCAAATGATTTTGGATTCCTTCACGGGTACTGTATATAAATTCCTTAAGTCCAGCTTGATCTATCTCTATTTTCCAAGTGCAAGTACTTACCCATATCGTCGATGAGAGGTGCCATACGCAACGTGACTCCGACCAGCAGTAGACAGAGAAACAGCAAGAGGCACGCCGTCACCATGATGGTATATCGAGCGCGGCGGGGAAGCTCATCTGGATCCAGTACCTGGGGCAAAAAGAAAAATACCATCAAATGATTCGGTAATCATCTTGTTTTCGAAGGAAACCCCAGTACTAGATAATATGGGTTGGGTAGAACTGTATTAATCACGAGTATCCATTTTAACAAACCTATAAATAATTTCATAATATTATTCAACAATATTGAAGATTTAATAAAAGTTCCATGAATTAATTTTAGCGGGAAAACTTTGAACTTGTACCTACAATCGCGAGTAACGCCATCTGTACTAAAACCATGAAACTATTAACTTTGTTGTTTCTCATTGAACGCCATCTAGCGGGTGGTAGCTTCAAATCCTATTTCACCTTTCTCACTCAAGTTATTTAGAGTCTAAACGACACCAAACTTCACTTCATGACATCTTCACTTCCCTTCTAGATGGCGCTGCGATAGTTTGGGGAAATAATGTAGAAATTGTACATTGCTCATCGTATAGTGGAAAACTTTTTTATGTTTCACACGTTAAGTACCTATTTCCTTTCTTTTTAAGTACCGTATAAATAATTTTACATTTAACTTAAAAATCTTGCAGCAATTCAGCTGTAAACCACATTTAAGTGTAGAAAATTTTAAAGAACCTCAGTACTTACATGAATAACTTTGGCTTGTTCATCAATAGCTGAGACAAGTAGAGTGCGGTGTTTCTTCGGCTTCTGTCCATGGACATGAGGACTGCGTCTACGTCGGCGACGGCGTCGCTCCAGCTCCAGTTGTTCGGGAATTTGCATATCTCTGTCAAAGAAAATCAATAATTGCTTTAAAAAATATAGGTACATTGAGTACTTTGCACCGTTGAGGTGATAAACAGGTTAGGAAAGTAGACCGCCCTATGGAAAGGAATTCGTTTCGGTGATTTTTTTATTACATATCTACTGTAATAAGTTTTGTGTAAATGGGCTGGCTATACATATGTCTGCAGAACACCGCTTTTATGGCCGCTTTTACTAACACATTTTTCTTTATTTAAAAAAAAAACGTTGCCCCACACTAATATTTTCTCCTGTGTCATGGGTGTGTTTACAAACATAAAAGTTCACATACACATGACACTCAGACCAGAGACAAACTTGTGGATCACACAGAGTTGTTCTGTGTGGGAATCGACCGCGCGACACGTTGCGCAATAGCCGATTGCCCAGCCACCGCACCAACCGTAAAGTCTCAATGTAGATTAATTTTGAACATGAAATAAAGATATGAGAACTATCGGGTATTTGTATGACATTGGTGGACCGACGACATCCTTAAAAGGGTGGGCGGAATGTATTACTATAGGATGAAACTTACGTCTTGTATAAGGACTACAAAAAGTTGATGATTATAATTATTATGATAGTTGTACATACATACGTTAGTGATATACATACCTACGACGGGTTTGTAGTTTAAGTTTCTTACGCTTATGCCTAGCGATCTCATGCTCGCACCAATGTGATGGCAGCTCTTCGCCCGGGCTGCCTATGATCGAGGCCTCCTCTGGAATTAAAACAATAACACAGTTCTGTATAAGTAAGATGTATATGTGATTGGCCACTACTTATATGATAATTATACCTCAAACTGAGCCAGTTAGTAGAACTTTCAATAAGTAAATCTTCTTTTTAGAAACCTTTATGAGAAATACTGCCAATAAACCAGTACAATTCTTGACTTTTAACATCAATAATCTGTAATAGGTAACTATATATACACAGTAACTATTTGTGTACCATAGATATAATAAAGAACAGATTTTAACAATGGGTTCTATTTCTCTCGTAATTGGATTTTGTATTCACTGAAATGTTTGAAAGTAGCACGTACCTACATAATATTAACTGACGTATTTGTTCGTAGTTTCAAGATGAACATTCCCATGATTAGCATCAGTTGATTAAAATACTAGTAAATCAAAACAAATGTGATAAACAACATTTATAAGACAGTAGCTCTAGCATTAGTTATATTACAGTGACTTCAAGATACGATAAGAACTTGATTAAGATGATGAATCGAACCGTAGTACATATTATAAGATAGATCTGTAACTCAGATGACTGATTGCCGAGTATTATAGTCAGGCAACCGTTCATGTGTGGGTTTATCGAAAGCTATCACATTCAATTCAGTTAGATGATTGATTAAGAGATCTGCGCCGAATGGGATTCTTATCACTTAGGAACAATTCATTAACTTCTAGACTTTGAAAGTAAAACACTTTTACCTTTTTTATAATAAAGGTTGATTTTGCTTGAATGTGTTCTTTAATAATCTGATTAAAACTTTGACATAGACTTTATTTATTGAGTATTTTAATAATAAGTTTCCAATACAATCTTACCATCTATCTTCAAAGAGCTAGTAAAAGACTAAAAGGTATATGTAGGTACGTCGGTTCTAACAGTTACTTTCCTCTATTTAGATAGCATCTCTAAAGGGCTATAACCATAACTTATGCGGGATTTCAAACTACAACCATTAAGAGGAGATTACGCGTAGGTACAGTATCTGCCAAGCAATTCCATATAACGTTTATCGAGTGAATGAGTACTTTAGACAGTTTACGATGATACTAGAGGAAATCTGGATAAGATTTAGTACTTCATATATGTACATGTACAACAATATGTATAATATTTTTACTCTTCACATTACACTAGAGAAATATTTCAAAATTGGATAATTGCCTTAATCAAAAATAAATTATTTCATCTGTTCAATACAATAAAATGTAAAAAAATAATCACACTTTCATTAATTGTTTTTATGACCAACTTAATTTTAGTATCTTTACAGCATTTTTTTTAAATATGTGTACTGTTTGACGCAAAAAAAACGTGACGTCACAATACACAATCTTGTACAAAATTGACAGTTCGAAAAAAGTATTGAATTTGACTAGTTGGAAAGTACCCAATTATGCTTTTTATGATTAGGCAAAGGCTTTTAATTTATTAAAATTTATTTTGTGCACAAGTTTAATATAACATAACATAAACACAATAACGTTGCATAAACATAATAAACACAATAACGTTTTTGTATGATTTTATTCGTATTAAACAAGACAAAATTGAAATAATTATTAATGGGAAAAATTACAACTTACAACAGTAATAAAATAAATATGATTTGTAACGGAGTTCCACAGGGACATATTTGGGGACCAATATTGACAGTGATCAATAATTATGATGAAAACACTTTTTATATTAATGGTACCTGATATGATTTACGTGACCAGACGCCTAAAAATAATGGAAGCAAAATAAGTATGCATATCTTGGTCCACCTCAAAAAATAAGTACTCTGTAATTATATTTTATACCGGGAGACTGAGACATGAATTTTATACGTACGTATATACCTAATAGTATCAGACATATGGTTTTATAGGTTTTGGGTTTACTAACCGTCGGGTACGGGGTCTCGAAGGAGTAGCAGTAGCGGGTGTGTGCGTGCGCGCCGCCGTGACTGCTCTGCGTGGAGCGCGCGAGCCTTGCGCTCCACCAGCGCGACCAGAACCGCTTCCAGCCGCGCCGCGCCGCTCTCCTCCGTCCATACTGCTTTGTCGACCGTCTGGAAATGTAACATTATACAGCATCAGAAAAAGAAACAGAATTATAAGTGTTGGATATACCTAATAGATATAACCTATAATAACTACATTTCATGCGAGAAAAAAGTGAAATTGATGTAAAGAGCCAAGCCCAATTTTTAAATGATTAATTTAACATTAAAGTCGTTTAGGACTAGTAATTATGTCACTAAAACACACATAATGCGTAACTAATTTGTCCCTTTTTCCCGGTCATACAATAAATTACGAGACGCTATTAAAATGCCATACTAACTGCCTTCGAATGCTATAACAGAACACACGCCACGGAAAGTACTATAATATTTATTTCTACTCGATTCCAGAGGAAATCGACTTTTCCGTTTTCCCTTTTCGAAGGAAAGAACCGTAAGAATTGTGTGTAACACAGGCTCTCTAAATATATAATAGCTTCTTTGAAATAAAGATTTTCATTTCGATACGGCTGAGAGAACCACTTGAAGACTTAGGTACGTTACGACCAATTAAATCAGTGGAGAGAGGGATCATTTGTGATTTCAAATGCTGTCAGCTTTAATTGATTTGTGTCTTAATGAATGTTACATGATTAATGACTTTAAAGTCATGTCAGTAATTTCTTTCTTTAGGTATGTACGTTAGTAATAGAAATGTATTAATGAAAGTAAAAAATTATTCAGTAGGTAATTTCATAATGGAAATTTCCTTTAATTCAAATTAAACTAATGTTGAAAATAATGTTTTCTAATTCAAAAGTTCCTTGTGTGATGGCCTATCTCATAGTTCGGTTATGTATTTGTTTTTATAAGACATAACCAAGTAGTGTTAAAATAAAAGCTAAACTATGGAACCTATGGGTATTTAACGGCTACTATTGCGCGTTTTTTTTAGTTTAACACCGTGAGTAAAACTTGAAAATGACACCCATTATACCCTTGAAAGGTTATTTAACTCGATAACAGTGCTACATAGGATTATCAATCACATATTTACTAATTATTGTATAAAAAATACTACAGCACACCCGGATTACACCCTTGAAAGGTTATTTAACTCTGTAACAGTGCTACATAGGATTATCAATCATATATTTACTAATTATTGTATAAAAAATACTACAGCACACCCGCATTACACCCTTCAAAGGTTATTTAACTCTGTAACAGTGCTACATAGGATTATCAATCATATATTTACTAATTATTGTATAAAAAATACTACAGCACACCCGCATTACACCCTTGAAAGGTTATTTAACTCTGTAACAGTGCTACATAGGATTATCAATCACATATTTACTAATTATTGTATAAAAAATACTACAGCACACCCGGATTACACCCTTGAAAGGTTATTTAACTTTGTAACAGTGCTACATAGGATTATCAATCATATATTTACTAATTATTGTATAAAAAATACTACAGCACACCCGGATTAAATATTAAAGCAAGTTATTGATATACTAACGTCGGTCGACGGCTGTCGCATGGTGAGCGCGAGGCCGACCCGTGTGGCCGATCATCGCCTCGCACGCGACGCTACCGAGCGCCTCTCAGCACCTGCAACCAATGACAATCGATTGTTATTGCCGCCATTATCATCGGCCATTATTGTAATTGTCACATAATATTACCGAAGCTTAAAGTATATTAAAGATGTGTTACATTCGAAATGAAAACCTCTGTGGAATGTCTCTGCTTTATAACATAATATAACATCACGCCATTAATCCCCGAAGGGGTAGGCACAGGTGCATATTACTTTTCACTATTCATGTTATGAGTCCTATGTAATTAATAGTAGATTCTTAGAGAAGGTGACAAAATAACATGAAAAGGTAGACTAGAAAAATCCATTTCGAGTAATTTATATACGCACGTATATTAGGCATTTATTTGTTAAGGATAAAGCAATATTTCGCTGTTAAACAGTGATTACTCTAAAGGTATGAATAGACTACGACACTATACTCGTATACGCAGTGTACAAATCGAATGTCTCTGTATGAACGCGATTGTCTGTTAAATCGAATGTCTCTGTATGAACGCGATTGTCTGTTAAATCGAATGTCTCTGTATGAACGCGAATGTCTGTTAAATCGAATGTCTCTGTATGAACGCGATTGTCTGTTAAATCGAATGTCTCTGTATGAACGCGAATGTCTGTTAAATCGAATGTCTCTGTATGAACGCGAAAGTCTGTAAAATCGAATGTCTCTACGTATGAACGCGAATATCTGTAAAAATCGAATGTCTCTGTATATGAACGCGAATGTCTGTAAAATCGAATGTCTCTGTATGAACGCGAATGTTTATAAAATCGAATGTCTCTGTATGAACGTCTCTACGTATGAATGCGAATATCTGTAAAAATCTAATGTCGTCTAACGCGAATGTCTGTAATTGGAATGAGTATTATGACACGATAATTAGTATCCCATCATCGGCTGTCGTACCATCCGTATAAGTGTGAACAGTATAAACATTAATGTATTACTTTTATGTCAGAATTTGTGTCGTAGTCTATTCATACCTTAAGAACGAAATCCACAGTATTTTTACAGTTGCATTAACAACATTGCTTTTATAACAAGCTAAAAAATATCAATTTCAATCAAATATCCACCAATAAAAAGGGTTCTGGAATGAAAAATTTGCATAGAGAACAAAAAACTATCTGCAGTGTACAGACGTATTTTCATTAAAGTTCTCGATTTAATTAAAACCCGACATTGTAAATTTGTCTTATGGCTGATGAAATTAATTAAATTCAACTGCATATAACTTGGAATGTTAATTTATTCAAGTGCATCTGTTTATTTGGATCCTAGTTCCTTGGAACTGGAATACACTCTGTTCGTGATAGTCTAGTTATGTATACATAAATATATTCTTGTGCCTATATATCTTATTATTTTATTTTTATTTTATTTTCAGCCATGATCGTCCCACTGCAGGGCAAAGGCCTCCCTACCCTCCTTCCACTCCTCTCTATGTAAGCTTCTGTATCTTATACTATATAGCAATATAACAATTTTATTTCTATGCTTTAAATATTTTGATACACAACAATATGCAACATTTTGATTGCACAAATGTTTGCTACGTGTAAATATTGAACCTGAAACTTGTAACACAAATCGATCGGTAAAGTACACTACCAGTACAATACCATTGACAATATCATAATATCATCCTCAATATTAAAAAAAAAAATTAGATTAAAGAATCTTTTCTAACAAAACCTCAAAGGCCTACCTAATAAAAATATTTCCAACATTTAACCTAATATAAACCTACAAGTATTGAAATACGTTCTATTTTAATTTCCATACCTTTAATTACATTATTTACTTGAAGGTATTCCATGACTTTTAATGAGAAAAAACATACGCCGAAATTCTTACGACAAGATTAAAATGAAATGCTTTGTAAAATAAATGGCTGCCGTGAGGGATTTTGTAGAGAAAAACAAAATGCCGAGCTAATATTATGGAGTGCTTTTTTATGTTTATTATGACTATACCTTCGGAGATTCCATAGTCGTTTACATGAAAGCGGGTCTATATTTGTTGAACATATTTTCATATACGTAGAAAAAATAAACAACTTAGTCAAACAAAAAAAATTATTCACCATTGGCTTTTATGTAAATTTCCCCATGTTATTGGTTTATTTGTACCTCAGAACGTACAAAAATCCTCCACAATTTCCCCTTTCCATTTTATTTACAAAAGAAATAAAACCAGGCTGCCTTTTATCCAGAAACTACGTGTGACGCTTTTTATCCGGTACGAATTCATACAAAAACCTAACATATGTAGGGAGAGCATTCCATTCGATCGTTCGAATATCGACTGGAGGCCAGTGCACCTTTTATGTAGACCAAAGGTCTCGAACTGAAACTATTTCATCGAGCATTTTTGCCGTAAAAAGGTACAATACTTTGCTTTAAACACCACTATGTAGAGGTAGTCAAGTACAATGTAGTCTACCGTTATAGTAAGTAAGTAGATATTAATTTTAAGTGAAGGAGATTGCAACTTAACACAATTATTCTCAATGATTTAACTTATTTGGAGGTCTTTTCATCTCGTTAGTTTTTCACCAAGTTATAGGCAAGCGCTCCTAGTCTTCTCCGCATACTTCATCACACTAATATTATAAATGTGAAAGTTTCCTTATTTGGATGCTTGTCCGTTTATCACGCTGAAATTACTGATCGGTAATTGATGAAATATGTTATACAGGCATGGGCTGACTTAGATGATAGAATACTTTTTATCCCGATTAAATGCTCCCATGGGATAAAACAAGAATCATATTCTACGCGGACCAAGTCGCAGGCGACACAGCTAGACAGTAAATAATAACTCCAACTATAATAAGGGAAAATCTTTATCACCATACAGTACACCAGATTCACTTTAAAAAATATACTAGACGCGAGCAGGCACAGACATTCCTACAGTTACACAATATATCATTGGTCTACTGTTCTATGAACTCCAGCATCACTTGATAGGAATTATCATATCGTACGCACCAATCTGGCAAACAATTGACCGTGGATTGGTTATACTGCGCCTATTGTACAGCCTGATTGGAAAGCCAGTATCAAGCTACGCCAGTTAACATCGAAGGATTGATCCCTTGTTTTGTTTCCATATTAATTACCGATCAAAACTCAGATTGAATAAACGTCTGTGAAAGAGCTTGATGTAATTAACCATGTGGTTGTAATAACAAAAATGTCAAATTACATAGTGGGTGGGTCAAATTAAGATTTTGATTGTAATTTCCGTAATAGTACAGAGACTATGGGTGGGTCTTTAAACAAAAAAACTCAGTAGTAGCGCGAAGTGTGGGATTGTGACTGGTACATGGCAATAGGCTCCCCCCCTATTACATGGGATGATGGGACTCATGACATAAACAGTGGGTGTTCCATTGTACAGCGGCATTAAGTGCCGTAATGTGCACCTTTGCCTACCCCTTCGGGGATAAAATGCGTGATGTAATCTTATGTACACAGTTTATCATTGTACACAGTGTTTGGGAGTTACCAAACACTATTTTACTAGATGAAATAGTTATTTTATCCCATAAAGTAATCGGTTACATACCTAATTATCTAATTTAAGTGGACCTACTAGAAGTGGAGTGCCCCAGAAAGAGAAGATTATATTGTTTAAAAATTGTTACTATCATAAATTCAACACATGCTACAAAACGGTCCTACATTAGTGCGGTTTAACTTTTTATCGTGAACAAACGGAGCGGCTCTAAAGTTTCACACTCACACATTACATGCAACGAATTTTACCGCATTGTCCGAAACAGGAGCGCGGTGATACTGCGGTTATATCCAATTTGCAAACACTAGGCCACGCCGCTGAACAAACCTCGTGTGACATTCATTTGCATGTATATTAGCCACCGCCAATATTGTCAAAAACTCATACTGACCCGCACTCGTGGTTTTTGTTAAAAGGTTACAATAAAAGTGAACAAAACTCTTGCTACTTCTTGCCGTTTGATTGTGCAGGTGTATCTACTAAAATATTTGGCAAACAATGTATAATAAAGAATAATACGCTATGGATTGTTTTAATCATTTCACTATATTTAAAAGTATTTTTCATCGTTTTTTTGTATGATTTCTGTAACGGTTCAAAAATCAAAACTGGTTTTCTTTCTTTAATTCTATATGGCGTGTCTAATTCAGTATGATTGGTTCTATTAGTACTTCCGTAAAGTCAAAGTCAAAAGTCAAAGCATTTACTTCAAATAAAACAAAATTTGGTACTTTTGAAACGTCAACAAATACAAAATAAATAATAGTATGTCAGTCAGTCCGTCAGTGAAGCTAGGTGAAGCTAGGTGCTCTTTAGAAATTGTAGATTCGAATGGAGAAGAACGAGCAAGAAACTCCATTCGTTACTCTTTTTAAAAAAATATGTTCTACAATGTCTCTGATACATACATATAATACGTATAGTATAATCCAGAACCTTCCTAATAATTAAACTTTTTGGGATAGGTAGGTACTAATCGGATTTACACACATGGTGCCTGTTCTCAGTCGCAACGCAATTTGCAATGCGTTTACGAGCCATTTGCATCCATAATCCTGGTGTAATCAGACTAGCAATTTCACAGGTAAATAGATTACCACTGTATTCACACTCGATAATCTTCCTTTACATACCTAGTAGGTACAATAGGCAGCAGGTCAACCTACACTTTTCTATCAAATTTGTTTATCAGATTTTCAACTCTATCTTTAAGACATACAGTCGAAAATCCAATAACAAAAATTTACACATTGGGTTAGGTTGATGTGCTAGCCAGTGTACATTTAGCCTGAGCTAGATCAGCAGGGAGAAAATGTAGGTACGGCCATTGCCATAGGAGGATATAGTAGATACGTAATAATTCAACTTTTTGATAAAGTTATGCAGATTTTCAACCTTATACCGTGTAAAC